CTCGAATTTTCAATTGTAGTCGACGATAACCGTTTCCCGAGGAAAAAACACACAGTTTCGTCATTGTACTTGTACATATTGTAGTTCTAGTTAGTACACGTAAATGCGAAATGTGCAATATAAGTTTTATTTTTGCACGACCCGGTCCAAGTATGAAGTTCCAACCAGAAATGTTTTTCTTATGGCCTGGCCTGTGCTGATCTCTATAGTACCATTAAGTATTCACTTGTTCGGGTGCTACCGAGTCATCGCGCGTAGTAAGCAGAAAACAAGAAGGTTGCTATCCAAAAATATGCACTAAATACTCTTTCCGACTATACCATAATATAGCGGATACTCATTTTAATAAAATACTGAATTATCAGTATCTTACTCGACACTCGTATACATTGTTGTATGCATATATTTATTTTTTTAAATTTGAAAAAATAAACGCACCACACTCACACCCTGTAATATTTCCATAAATAAATATATTATAGGTAAGGGTCAATTTTTTCTCGAAATCCGTTGATTTTTACTAAATATTTACCATTAGATTAGTAGCGCAGGCCGGATAAAAGGTATACCGTCATTGCCAGTTGGCCATCATTGCAGTAGTTTACCACGATGTTATGTTTTACTATGCTCCGTGTCTTTTTTCATTTTGTAAAACTCAATTTCTAAATTAAAATCATCAATCAATACTCCATTAAAGTACATAAATGGTGTACTGTGTAGTGTATACATATAGCTGTGTATCTCTTGTTGACAATATCCATTGTTTCGACACTCACAATATTAGTTTTATTAGCCTTTATACTGCATAGTACTATATTTGGTAGCTTTAATGAAGAACGCTTTGAATATTTGCCAATATCAAAGTTTTATCTTTAAAAAATATGGCATGTATTTGGTCAGGTTTTTATGCTACGGCTCAGTAACGTGTACGTTGGCTAAATGAACAATAGACAAATATTTTAATTTTGCCATAGGTACCTCAAAAAAAAAAAAAAAAATACACAATGCAATTTAAAATATGACAATACAAATTTGAACAATACTAACCCCATTTTCCGTTTAACCACCGTCCCAATTTATTTAATATTAAACCTTAAACATTTCAACTATCGAATAAAAGGACTACCTACCAATAATTGTGTATTCGAATTTACAAACATCAGCGATGAAATTCCAACGAAAAAAAATCTTCAAGCTATATTATATTTTTACAGTTTTCAGAGACTTTGAACCCTTCACCCTGCGCAGTACAACACAACAGTCTTGCCGCCATCACTCTCGTAGACGTGTTTACACACGCGTACGAGACTTGTCGATTAATGCAGGCAGGACGTACTCCTTGTAGGTATATATCACGTGTATATTATGAAGCGTATTTTCGTTCTTAAATAATAAACGGACTCCGTAATTATTATTAACTTTTACCCAGCTAATTTTGACGTGGAGAGAGCAGCTGCATTTATAATGCACCATATGCAGCGAGTACGCGAGCGGGTTGCGCATTTAATTAAGTCCCGCTGTATTTTATAATTATAATAGTTAGCAGGCGTCGACTTAATATTGTGTGTTCTAAAATTTGAGTTTTAGTGAAGTCGTCGTGTGCAGTTTCCAGCAGGAAGAACGAGTACCTATTGCATATAAGTAAAGAGTATAATAATATTGTACAGTAGGTACTCCAACACTGAACACCATCGGCGAAACGTGATGAATTTGTATTGGAGGAGGGATGCTATATGAATTTAGGACGTTTAAAAATCAATTTTTTTCAATAATCAATAAATAAAATTAATATAAATGAAATATAATTATGTTATACATATAGTCGAAAACTTAAGTTTGTAAATAATAATTTTATTATGTTATATCTTATATTAGTTTTCGAGGTGTTTGAATTAATTTACCTATACCTTTAAATATTATGATTTTGAAACTTCATTTTTTTCAAAATAATATTTTTCAATACTACGGAAATCGACATATTAACAATAGTACAATATGTACACCTATCGATATATTAATTAATAATTTTATTTAGGTACCTAGGCTATATAGGAGGCAATTTGAATAGACCATTTGGGTATACTTGAATTGTCTCCGAAAACACCCGGAGGCAATTCGAGCGAAAAAAAGTCACCTATCTATATTTTGGAGAAAATTTGAGTGTCACCCAATTTACTATACCTATTTTAGAAATCTAAAAATGCCGGGCTCAATCAACTATATTACCTATTTTTACTACCTGCCCAATGCGGGGGAGCTAAATTTCTAAAAAAGCGCCCGATTTGCAGATAATAAACATTATTATTATAACATAAATATAAATAGTTTCATTGTTTTATATACTTTATAGTATTTTTTGTGAGTATTTTTTTTTTTTTGAACGTTGATTTAATGTTAAATAAATCACCATTATGTCTTATAAAATAAAAATGTATGTATTGTGTATACTGTATACTGTGTAAGTTAAAGTAGGTGTATAAATAAATATTATTTTTATATGCATTTAATAAATTATTTTTGTTCGTATATGTTTTCAGTTATTATTCATTTGTAAACGTAATTTATAATTCACACATAATTAAAATTAAATAAATCCATTTACAATAATCTGTTGCAAAATATACTTTTAATTATGTTTTACAAAAATAAAGGTGAATAGCAAACTAATTGAAAAAATAATTTAAGAACAATTTTCCCGGATTTGCATTTTTTCATTAGGCAATAAATTTGGTTCCTCGATACCATAATAAAAAAAAAAAGGCAATAAATTTGGCTAATTTGTTTTTTATTAATTAAACTTGACTTGATTACATTTTATAGAAAAAGTGCATGTAATATTACAGAATATTGGCTGCAAATCGGCCATTTACATTTGAATCAAAATGATATTACAACTATTTTGAATACAAAAAACATGTTAACTAGTTCACCAGTAGAAAATTAATATATATTTATATATACTTTTAATCTTAAATATTATTTTAGTATGGGTACATCGTTTATGAGTTTATGACCGATAATTCCATGTTGATTGAAAAATGTTCATACCTGAAGGTAAAACTAAAGAGCAAAAGCAGGAGGGCAGTGACATGGGTGGTGGCAAATTGTAGAGATCGGTTAATTGTTGATGGCAAAATTCTGTAGTTTTTTGATTTATTATAATTTATAACATAAATTATAACTCATTTATTGTTGTTCTTACTACAACTAATTGTTCTTCACTTTAAAGATGACTCGTGGGCTATCATTGACCTTGAGAAAGCTTACACACTAGTCTCTAAACCTTTTTATTCTCTCAAAAATATGTAGCCAAACATACTTCTAAACTGAGAATAGTTAATAGCATTCTTTTATCACCTCTTCTCATGTTACTTCATGCTCAAATAAAACCTTTCCTAGAGAAATTTAAAATACATAATATACCTACCTCACAGCCTCTCTGGATTCAGATCAAAATAATTGGCCTTATATACACTACATAAGAAAGGTGATACAATAATATCTAGTTCATAGAAAAATATTACAATTCTGTACAGCAGTATTCTTAAACATTTTTTTACCCTTTGATTTGGTCTGGCGTGATTGACTATACTGATAGGTAACACCAACTAACTCTAAATGTTTTTCCCATGTCTTTGTGTTTTCTTAATTTAATTCTATCAAACAAAATACTCCTTTACTGTCCGCCTTAACATCACATACTAAACTCAGGTCACACTTAACTCTTGTTAAAAGATTAAAGCGAAAATTCCTCTCCAGGAGTCACTTCGACCATTTCTTTTATTCGATTTTCACTCACGATACCCTTAGCCTTTATTCTTAAATCATTTACACATCTGTAGGTGCATATGCCAACGATCCACTGTATATTACGTTACAAACGGCCATATGATGGAAAATCATCACTATTATAGATGATGATTAGCTTATGGGCAGATGGTGGAATAAAAGGTGAACAATTAAACGAATAAAACAATCTAAATTTATTATGGAGTTACGTTTTCACTCAACAATCTTGAGTTTTCACCCGTTAAGTGAAATAACTAAATGATTCCAATAGTAAATGTAATTGAATATAAATATATTATTTAAGTACAATCGCATCTCTTGCTTGTAGAAAAATCTTAATAAAGATTACAATCGAGAGTCTGGAACAGTCGAGACAAGCTGAGCACTATTGACTGAAAAACATACAATTTAATTTGACTCTCAACAAGAGGTGTCTTTCAATATTTTACATTTTTTCTTTTTAAACAAGTGGAATACGAATAAAAAGTGATGGCGTTTCCGAATAGAGCCGAGTAAAACAATTTATTTCTTAGTGATAGTGATATAAGTGTAGTTAAGGGTGGAATTTAAAAATCTACCCCAATGCAGCATATTATTCCATAACACCTTGACAATTGACGATAATAATATTATTAAATAAGCATGTATACACGTATGGCATTAATACAACTACTGACGCCCGAATTCCAGCGAATGTATTCGAACAGTATGTTGGAATTGGATACATACCAACTGCATATAGGTTTAATATTGGGAGTAGTATGTTTGGGTGAATGGACCCTAAATGGCTATCAGAGAAATAGTTACATTTACCAATTGGGTTAGTGTTAATTCCTCAAAAAATACCATTTGGGAAAATAAGTATGAATAGATTTATAGGTAAATAATTTATGTAAACATTGTATATTTGTTCACCGTTAATCGAAGGCAAAAAAAAATTGTTATAATGATATTGAGGTGATAGTAATAGAAGATACTCATTATAGAAATTTTACTCGACCTATGAACGAGTTGTCGATTTTTTAGTCAAAATTATCACTCAAACGATGTTATACACATAATATATAAAATATATTACGTAGTTATGTATATAATATAATATTGTTCATACCAGTACGGATGACAAAAGTAAAAAATTATCGTCCATCCAAATTTTTTTTTCCACTGTTTGCCACTGTTTGCATAATAATATATTGTATTAACCCTTTCACTGCTGAAGGCTAAAATTGAATGTAACGGTCCTGTGCTGACCAAATTTGATAAATTAATTTAATTATTTTATCACCTAATATTGATAAATCTATACACTCTGAAGTTTTTAAAATTAGAAAAAAAATTTTTTGATCAAAACTTACCAAGTTATAGCAAGTTTTCTTATTCATTACCGGTGGTTCTCAAAATGTGCAAGAGCTATGCGATGATACGGTGATTGAGTAATATTATGTATAAATAAACCAAATTCTATAAAATTTAATGATTGAAAAAACTACAATAACAAAAAAAAAAAATTTATTTTTAACTTTAAAACATAACTTTTATTATACATAATACTTTTTTTTTGTTTTGACATGTGTGACTGATATATTATTAGGTATATATTAAAAAGTTTGTTGTGTGTGATATATTTTGAAACATGGTACAACACATAAACCTACATTGCACTCATTGCATTGATATAATGTATCTGTTCTTTTTTTCCCCTCAGTCTTGTGGCTGCAAACAAAGCATTTTCTCCTTTGTTTTTTACTTGATGTTTGTGGTATTAAATCTGGAAAATGTCTTTCACTTAAACGGCTGTCTGTACTTATTATTTTTTTACCTTTACTTGGAGTTGTTTTCACACTGGATTTGTATTTTTGTAATATTTCATTAATCAAAGTTAGCTGAAAGTCAGCTAATGAAATATGCTTACCTGTAACTGTTTTATAGGCTGAATATGCATTTAGCATACTCATATCAATAATATGAAAAAATAGTTTTTTGTACCATTTCAATGTACGCCTAACACATTCGGTAGAACTCAATAACATATCTGTCTTGTCTATTGCACCCATATTTTTGTTGTAACTAACTACACATTTTGGCTTAAGATATTTTTTTCCTGTTTTCCTATCTATCTTTTTTGTGTCTACCATTTCATTTGTATTCATAGATGTTAACATGTATACGTCACGACGGTCCTTCCAATGAATCGCTAAAAGTTTGTCAGTGCACCGAGCTTCTCGTTCACCTAATTTTAGCTTACCTTCAAATTTCAATAGTTGGCATCAGTTTACGATTTTTTCTAACAGTACCACATGTGTTTGTTTTTCTTTTATGTAAATACATAGATAATTGTGGTGAGGTATAAAAATTATCTGTGAATAATGAATAACCTTTGTTTAAATATGGCTTCATTAGATCTTTTACGATAACACCAGATCTACCAAGTATGTCTTCTAATGGATCTTTGTATACAGTAGCTCCTGTATACACAATAAAGTTCATGATAAGATTTATAGGTAAATAATTTATGTAAACATTGTATATTTGTTCACCGTTAATCGAAGGCAAAAAAAAATTGTTATAATGATATTGAGGTGATAGTAATAGAAGATACTCATTATAGAAATTTTACTCGACCTATGAACGAGTTGTCGATTTTTTAGTCAAAATTATCACTCAAACGATGTTATACACATAATATATAAAATATATTACGTAGTTATGTATATAATATAATATTGTTCATACCAGTACGGATGACAAAAGTAAAAAATTATCGTCCATCCAAATTTTTTTTTCCACTGTTTGCCACTGTTTGCATAATAATATATTGTATTAACCCTTTCACTGCTGAAGGCTAAAATTGAATGTAACGGTCCTGTGCTGACCAAATTTGATAAATTAATTTAATTATTTTATCACCTAATATTGATAAATCTATACACTCTGAAGTTTTTAAAATTAGAAAAAAAATTTTTTGATCAAAACTTACCAAGTTATAGCAAGTTTTCTTATTCATTACCGGTGGTTCTCAAAATGTGCAAGAGCTATGCGATGATACGGTGATTGAGTAATATTATGTATAAATAAACCCAATATGTTTGGGTGAATGGACCCTAAATGGCTATCAGAGAAATAGTTACATTTACCAATTGGGTTAGTGTTAATTCCTCAAAAAATACCATTTGGGAAAATAAGTATGAATAGATTTATAGGTAAATAATTTATGTAAACATTGTATATTTGTTCACCGTTAATCGAAGGCAAAAAAAAATTGTTATAATGATATTGAGGTGATAGTAATAGAAGATACTCATTATAGAAATTTTACTCGACCTATGAACGAGTTGTCGATTTTTTAGTCAAAATTATCACTCAAACGATGTTATACACATAATATATAAAATATATTACGTAGTTATGTATATAATATAATATTGTTCATACCAGTACGGATGACAAAAGTAAAAAATTATCGTCCATCCAAATTTTTTTTTCCACTGTTTGCCACTGTTTGCATAATAATATATTGTATTAAACATAATCAATATTGAAGAAGTGTATATTATTATACATTATTTTCTTCTTGGTTTTGCGTTGTTAATTTTAACAAATAATAATATCCATAAATTTGAAATGATTAATTAAAATAATCGATTTGATCATACATGCTTTCATTTAAAATAAACAATTTCGCAGTGCAAACGATAACCATTATACATACATATATATATATATGTATATTGTATACAGGCGGCAAGGATGGTGGCATGAAAAAACCCTATGTTTTAAACAAACAGTATAAAATGTTCAAAAATAAATCGAATTTTTTTGAGTAATAGAATATAATCACGATTGCACCAGAAAAAAAACGATACTGTGCTAATTAAATTTCATTGAAACGTAATTTAATTATAAAAGGGAATATTTGATATCTGACTATAAATTATATAATAACTACGGTCGTTATTCGAGGAATTGTGATTTGTGACGCACTCGAATTCAATTTACTTTCAACATGTTGAACGCGTGTTTTAACTAATTTTGTATTTGTTTATTAATACAACGAAAAGTTTCATAAAAATTTCGTCAACTTATATTATCGTAAAATATAATATCATTTGAAATGTTTACCAGAGTTATACTGCATGTTTTGAATGGTTGGCGTATGCTGTGAAAATATAATAAAATATACATTCTTAGGTATGGGCGAATAAATGACAAACTACAAACACGTAAATAAACTCTGGCGAATCCATTATATTTTAATAACAATAAATAATAATAAAATATTATAATTATTATCATGGGAAATATAAATTTAAAAATATAGCGAATCATCGAGACGTAGAGTATAAATTATCGGTTGGGCAAAAACTATAATAATATTTGTTTATAATATTTATGTATACATAATATATACAAACCAGGACGAAAAATAACGCTATATATTATTATAACGACAAAGTTTACATCTGAATAGTCCAATACTGTGTAGGTATAACGAATAAACTTAAATTGAATAACTTTGGGTTACTGGGAGACCTTCAATTCGGTGAATACTCGCTTGCTCAGTAAAATTGTGCAATGCCAAATAAAATGAGAATTTGTTTTTGTTATGAAAAAAAAAAACAACGACTATTAGAACTCTCCGGTTTACGGGCCTACTGCGAGTCCTGTTTAGTAATAATAGTCTACCTATATAGTTCATAATAATAATTGTCTATTATATTCTCAACGCCACCAATAAAATGTATATTACCGACTTTCGTTGTGTCAGTAAATGACAGACGTGGTAAGTCCACTGTATAATAACATTATAATATCAATTATCAATAATATCAATATGGTCGAGTCAAACATCATAACAATAGTCGATGTTCATTTCATTATAATCACTCTCCAAATACTCAGTAATGTGACAGTTTTTCAAATTCGTTTTTTTTTTAAATTTTTTAAGTAGCTAAAAATGAAAAATATAAGTTACTAATTAATTTTGTTTTTTCCTTAATTATTATTTTAGTAACTTACTAGTTACTTACTTTAATTTACAATTTTTTTTGTTTCGTTGTCCTGCAAATCATGCATTTATAGAAATTATTGAATTTGTTTTATATTATTTTATTACAGCTATGAATAAATGATACCTGTATTGTTGTTTGTTTTTTTAAGTAAATAAAGTTGTATTAAATAAAATAGTAGAATAAACATTGATTATACAGATTTTAAATTTAAATTACCAATGGTTGTTATAAATTTGGCTTGAAAATAACTTTTAAAGTTTTAAAATTATCGACCATATATTTCAGTAAAATTTTAAATCTTTTATGCAAAATTGGTTAACCCACCTTACTATCGTGACAGTATGCGATGACTATAAAGTAAAATTAATATAAATATGAATATGGCATAGAGCGTTGAAGTATTATTGGCATCTCTTTTGTTGAGAACTATTATGATGACACTGCCATTATATATCAGGTTATAGTTGCTTGGCCAAAATGTTGATGACCTAAGTTCGCAAGTGCTTCTGTGATCAATCTTCCTATAATGGCAGAAGAATAATTAGACAAGAAATACGAAGAAAATAATTGTAAATGGTGTGATATTGATGGTGCTATAGATTATCCTAACAGATTAAGACTTAAGAATTAAGGACTTCGGAGTCACGTGGTGTGTGAAATACGAAAATGGAAGTAGAACGCAAGGGCAGTAATTGTTAGTTGTTACACTATACAAAGCACCCCGTGTGTAATTATGATGATGATGATGATGATGATGATAGTGATGGTGATGGTAATAATAAAAACAGGTGTGTTTAGGCAGCGATATAGGTATATTAGCGAAATATTAAAAGTCCTTACCGATGTACTCGTGAATCACTATATTTAACTACAATAATAATGATATTATATAATATGACATTTCATATTTGTAATATTTTTTATATTTGTTTTAAGATATAATTTCCTTATGTGGAACCATAAACTTGACGAATTAATGCATGCTTTTACCTCATCTAACCGAGTAATGGCAATAAATACTCGTGTTTCTCATTACTATTATAGTATTGATAATCTGTAAGCTGTAACCAATATCAACCATTCATAAACAAAAATGTTCATCGTAAATCTAAAGAAGAATTTCTTAAATTTGTATGGAGTTCAATCAATGGTGTGTCAATTTAAATACTATATTATTTTATTACCTATAAAGGCTATAACCATGATTATAACATCACCGGTGAAAAATGCCAAGGGGAGCCATCCACCCACTGCCGCATCACCTCAACAACACCACTTAGTAGGTTAGGAATATAACTGCACGAATAGATTAAATAGTTGTATAAATAGCTAATATTATTTAGTTTAAATATTTGTAGATAAATTGTATCGTGTTTAAAAAATGAAATAAGTGCTAAATCTCAACACTTAATATTTTCTAAAAAGCAATAGCAATACATAATGTGTTTTTTTTTTGTATTTCAAATATTTATTATACGCGATCTGTAAATATGTTTTATTTTTTGCAATAAGCATAAGTGATTTTGAGGGTTGTATTGGACTGTAGCCGCTGGAATGGGGAAGAGTCTATCTATTAATAGATCTTCAAGATAATGAGGAATTGCAAGGAATCATTCGAAAATTCTTAGCGCCGTTTACGTTTCGAGAGTCTTCTGGGGTCACTTGGTATGTTTAGAACAGAATTTATGGTTCGAAGATTGCTCTGGTTAGATAGATTTGAGTGGGAGCGTTTACAGAGAGTTTTGGCTCCGTGTAGTACTCACTGTTGGAATGGACGTAATGACTTACCAAAATCGTTATTTTTCTTTAAAACGTACTCTATTCGTAAAATTATCAATGGTACTACATCAATGTGGAAACATTAATAGGTTATTTTGAAATTAAATTTGAACTTATATTTAAACGTATTTAAAATTAGAAATGTTGAGTTTTTTAAAAACATTTATAGTATATTATGTACTATGCTAAGGCCTTTAAAACGCGAATGTGGAGCATTATGTAGCATTATATGATGTAATCAATTTTATATTTTAAAACAAAATCATTGAAAAACATTTTTGCTTCTATTGCATCATTAGAATTAATAGTGTCGAGTTGTACCTAAAGCGATATGATATAAAATATAATATTAAACAAATTAACTCTAATTGATCATGTTATCAGTTGGATACCCATAATATATTTCAGTTATTATTAAAACATATAACATGTTTTTTTTCTAAAATGTTGAAAAAAAAATCCTGAAGAAGAATACGTCCGATTAGAAATATATGTAATTCTGCATCGTCAAGCTGAATACGCACGACTGAGACAAAACAGCAAAACTAATAAAACATTAATGATAATTGATCACGTTATATAGATTGGGTTACTGTTATTCTCAAAATACGAAAAAACATTGTTTCTAATGTGCGATGACAGCGCGTTAAAAAGAAATAAACAAACCATCCCAATGAATACGCGTCCGACTCGAAGTAC